CGCATTTCCCGGAAACTTAGATGCACACGGCAGGTAGCGTCCGAAAGCCGCGTGTTATTCCGGTCACAAAATGCGGTGCTAACATGTTTGCACTCAATGCAATAGTTAACTTAATTCGATACGAACAAACTGAATATACAAAGAGCACTGGTCGCTCACTTACCAAATCTGTAGAGACAGGACAATCACCAGCAACTAGAGCCGCGTCTTTATGAAGAGAAGACTACATCCGGAATCCTGATTTCAGCGTTTGCAGATGACAACAGCTCTCAGGTAAACAATAATCCCCCTTAGACGCGTAAATTATTGTTGTCGCGTACACTGTCACACGTGATCCAGATGAGCTCTCACAGAGAGAAAATGAAAACGAAACTTAATGGCAGCAAACTGTAAAAGCAACACTTCACGCTTGTTTTGCCAACACAACGTGGCGTCTCTGTGGTGTAAACACGGTGACACTAATGAATATTAATGTAGTTGCACAATAGAGCGCGCTGATTGGTTTGAACCAAGCCTTACTCATGCATTAATGCAGCAGGCTGTAAGACGTAATAAGACTCACTCTGGCACAGACGCTCAGTCTGCACGCTGGAATAAACGCTATTATGTCATGACCGTGACGCAGCTTCAAAAATTCGTTTCAAACAGGAAGTACAAATTTGCTTGAAATAACGCAAAAACAACCAATTTACACTTTTTAGTGAAATATAGGTGTCCTAATAGTGTTTTTAGCAGTGTGGGACACATATACGACTGTCAACAGCTCAAAAAATGTGTTTTGGTGTTTCGTGACCCTTTAAAAGTCATTTCAACTCAATTTTAATTAATTTAACTGCTTTAAAACATCTAGTTAAATTATATAACTTTAAAAAATTTGATTATATCTTATAGGCTTTACTAAAATAAGCTAAAATAACATTAAAACATGTTGTCATGGCTATTGATCATATAATTTCTAGTGTAAATATTACAAATTAATATTAATGCGCATTTTGGGGCCAAAATGTGATCCATATGGAGAGTCACTGGACCAGAAACAGTCTTTAGACATTAATATTTGTAGGAAAAGCCAATAATACAGATTGTATTGAGTCAAAATTACTCAATTTTTCTTTCATGCCATAAATCATTACAATATTAAGTAAAGACCATGTTCCACAACGACATTATGTACTTATTTTTTATTATTTACCACCATATATATCAAAACTTAACTTTTGATCAGCCATATCTATTGCTAAGAACTTAATTTGGACAACTTTAAAAGTCATTTATCAATATCCTGATTTGTTTTAACCCCACAGATTATTAAGTTTCATTTAACACGACTGCACAATATATCATTTCACCATGGATATCGCAATGTGCACATCAACAACGGTCACATCGCAAAGACCTGAACTGTTAAGCCTGAATTATAGCTGACCAGGAGTAGGGATGCATCGATTAGAGATTTTGGTTGTACGATTATAGTCTGAGGAATAATCACGGTTATTACAATTATTATGCGTTCTTTCCTTTTAAAAATACTACTAGTTTAGAAAATCATGAAAACTAAAAATAAATAAATAAAATTAAATAAAAAATAAAAACAATAAAACAAAATATAACAAAAACAATATAATCAATTTTTATTTGGACTTAAAAATTTGTAAAAAAAAATGGTTTTGGCATTTAAACAAGTAATAATTTTACACTGAAAATAAATGACAGAACAAAAACAAATGAACAGTTTTTGTCTAATGTAAATTTAAGCATCATATTAGTGAAGTATTTCCCTTTTGAATAGAACAAATGTAGTCAAAAACTGCTGAACCTCGGTCTGAAAGGCACGCAAACCATGTGCCTCCACTGGAAATAATGAACTTGTGCATGTAAAAGATGGCATATGTGAATGGCCCAAAGTTAAAAACCTCCTCAGCCATAGTAAAATCGGCTTTTGATCCAATGTGTGTGCGTATTGTGTACAAGCTCGGAACTTTAAACTAGTGCACAGTTGGCATGACTTTAAGTTGCAGCAGTTTTGTTCCATGCAGAAAGCCTTTTGATAAGCCTTTATGATTAATTAACCATGACAAATTAAACAGCAGTTAATAGTGAAATCGGTTAACCAAGGCAATAGTATCTGGATGCAGCCTTTATGATGCAAGCTGAGATTGCATCACTCAGCAATGCAATCTCAGACCCAATGCACTCAATGTAGTGAGTGATGTCACTGTGACGGGTAGTGTTAGGGGTGGGGTTAGGTGAGCGCATTAAAAAACAATTGGATGCAGCTCAGATTGCACTGCACCAGGTCTGCATCCAGACCCCTCTCTAACCAGGAGCTACAGAATTGCATTTAATCACTGTGTTACTTTGAATTTTTGTCTTTGTTTCTAGTCCAAATATCTACATTTCAAAGCAAAAACAAGATTATTTAACTAACCCCACTGGCAGATAATTTTGCTTGTTTTAAAGAAAAGCTAATAATTTCATGTGAATTTTAAAACAGATCATATTTTTACTTGATCTAAGAAAGCTTTTTAGATATTTGGACTGGAAATGAGACAGTAAAGTAAGAAAATGATTTTTTTGCATCGTGATTATTCCATTTCTGTACCTGAATACCGTTCGACTCCCCAGAAAACCATCTAAAAGTGCTATTCAAACATTGTCTGAAACTGTGTTTATCACAGAAGAATAAAATATTGCAATATCAGATTTTTCCAATATCGCGCAACCATAATATTTACCATCTCAGGCTCAGCCAAAATATTGACCTAAAATAACAAACATCAATAGAAAGATTATTTATTTAACTTACAAATTATGTATAAATCTAAATTTCACTTATGGTTTTGTGGTCTTTGTTCTTAATGTGATGGGTTTTAAACATTAAACTTACATTTTTACATAATAATTAATAATAATAATAATAATAATTTTAAAAAGTAAAAATCAACATAAAACATTTGTTGTCTTGATTTTTGTTATTATATTTAGTCATTGTCAATCCTTTTTGTCATTTTTTATAGTGTATTTATAATTTTGTAATTTTGCTCTGAAGAAAACAATCCATATTCTTATATATTCTACTATATTTAATGCACTATTAGATCTTTTATTAGATCATCCTGTAGCACTGAAATAGCTTTAAATTGCTTTAAATGCACGATGCATAAGAAATCTACATGCAATGCTGCGTCTCATTGAGATTGATGCTGCCTTCATGCCTTTAGGCCTCAGTGAGTGACTGAGGTCCTGATCAATGGGAGGAGACGCTACAAACCAGCATGCCAGTCAACCATGGAATTACAAAGCACAGATGCCAACCCACTGGCATTTCATCAAAAATCCACCAGCAACCCGCTTATTCACAATCTGCATTCATTTAATGCATTGCCAATTATTAGTCAATGGAAGCAGACAAGGCATGCAATAATGTTAATGAACAAATGCATATGCAATGCTCCAGAATATGTATTTCTATTCTTGGGATTCGTTTCTGGTGGCTTTTATGCGAAACAATCAGTGCTCACATTCCTGCAAACCGAGCCAAGTGTGACCAAGTGTCTGATTTACAGCTTCTGCACGTTAAGTTAAGCTGCTCTACCAGAAACCCGGTCACGTTAAGCAGGGGTTTAAGGAGAAGTTGGCCACATTTTGACTTGGCGTTTCAGACAAAATGGTTGCAGCTACTGGGTTGGTTTGTTATTCAGACTTACGATTTAGATCGTGAAATGGGTGGTCAATTACGAAAAGCATCAAAATAATGAAAGAAAAATGAGGACATTTTGTTTTGTTAGCACAAAAAAACAAACAAATACAAATTATTATTACTTTACATTTTTACTGTGAATTACAAAATAATTTGGTGGCAGTTTATATGTCAAAAAAACTTAGATTAAGAACAAAAATAACTTGATGAGACCTTTCTGAAAAATTCTATTTTTATTTTTTGCTGTAAAATAATCATTAATCATCATCCATTATTGTTAAACGTTGCTCAATATCATTAAAAAACTATTAGCAATCAGTTTTTATATTATTATTAGAATTTTTAAGCGGGTCAGAATTAATGTTATTTTATTATTTCACTAATATTATATCACTATTAGCCTGACTTTAAATTTTTTCTAAATGTAATTTTGCAACATTAATCTAGACAAATCACATTTAAAAGGTAGATAAAAATCTCCTTTGTGCGTTTAATTTGATCTGAACCCCAAACTTGATCTTTGATCAAAGCATATTTACAAATGCTGCAACAGCTCCTATTGTAGCCACGTACATTTACGTAACTCAATCGAAATTGAACAAACAAGCTTTAGCGAACAAAAGCCAACAAGTCTATGCATAGAAACGTCTGAAAGAGTCCGAAAACACTGAATATTTCAGACTGAAAAACTATCAAACTTCTTAATCAACATTGTTCTCCAAAAACACAAAGGTGAGTCATTTAATACTGATTCTAAAACCCAAGTATTCTCTATTCTCAGTTGAATGTATATGATGTTTGCTCGACTATTTTCCACTTAACTCTTCATAAATGATAATTAAAAACAGTTGTATGTGTATTACCTTGACACTCTTACTAAATATCAACGCTGAAGTTAAAACAACCACACAGCTTCCAAAACTGAGACTTGATTCCTTAGATTCCTTAAACTCGAAAATAATGGACTTTTCACATGACACATGGTAACGTAAATATGAAGTGTTTTACTAGTTAACGTGGACAATGGCTGACTCGTGTATTATATTGACACTCATAATAACGTAACTAAAATATCAACACTGAAGTGAAAACCATCGCAGTGATTCCGAAACCGAGACTTGATTCATTATACATCAGACAATGCTGGTCTTTTCATATGACACAAGGTAAACATAAAGTTTTCAACTAGTTAACTTGATAACGTGGACAATGGCTGACTGAGTTACAGACTGAGTTTAGACTTCGCTAATAACCGTCAACCCCCCGGCAAACCGCGCATTTCCCCCCGGCCGAAACTCAC